TAGATGATTTTTAGTCATTTCATTTAGGAGTTTTGGATTTTTTTGAAACTTTTTAATTTTAAAATTTAGAAATAATTTTGCAAATTTATTTATCCAAACGGATAATACGAATTCACCGGATCTGTCCGACTTGGAATTGTCTAAGATTGGGCATGGGATTATGAGTCTTTACTATCAAACAACAAATGATACATAGTCAACAAGAGATCCTTGACCGACACTAAAACCCTTCCTTCTGCTGACTATTGATAAGATTGAAAGTTCAAAGCAATAGACATCAGATTTAACAGTAAGACGTGCAAAACAAGTTAGGGCTGCTTCGTACGTACCATCATAATTGTTGGATCGGTATGTATAGTTTAACTCGACTTTTGGCACAACAGAACAACAACAACATTCTACTCATATAACTCTCATCAATCCAATAAACAATCACTCAAACAGAGTAAATCTTATGCGATCACGCTCAATCTCCGTAACCTGAAGACATAGACGGCGACAAAGACCGATCTGAAATAACAGAGTTATGCCCTGGAGAGAGAGACGGCGACAAAGACCGATCTGGAACAACAGAGTTATGCCCTAAAGACAGAGACGGCGACAAAGACCGATCCGAGATAACAGAGTTATGCCCTGGAGACAGAGACGGCGAGAAAAACCGATTTGCTTCTGCTTCTCCATTTGTTGTCTCAGGCAAAGGAGTAGAGAGACAACTAAACCAATGAAGAACTTTATCTATACTCGGTCTTGTCTCTGCGTTTTCATCGATACATAGTAAAGCAATGTGAATATATCTCAAGATTTCGGTTATCGAATCTTGTCTTTCGTCTTCTCTCATCACTTCATGGATCACATTTATTGCTTCTCCTCTGTTGCAACATCTCTTGACCTAAAAGAAGACAACAAATATATGTATGATTTAAGAAAATACTTAACAATCATGTAAACTCTTCCATGTAAACTCACATATTCAATTAGACCTTCTTCTCCGCGCTCACTATAACTATTATAAGGCTTTCTTCTGCTGATGATGTTCAAGATGGTAACTCCAAGGGCATAAACATCAGATTTGACAGAAACACGCCCGGTTCGAAAGCAATCTGGATCTATATACCCTCTGTAAATTCACATCTCAAAAAAGTTTTGTGTATTAGTCTCTAAAAAACTTCAAAACAGTTTCCCTCAAAGTATGTAAATCACATACATGGTACCAGAAACTCCAGTTGTTTCTCCTTCATTTTCGTCATCTTGCATCATCCTAGCCAATCCAAACCCTGCGATTTTTGGTTTCAAATCTGAATCCAATAGAATGTTTGTAGGTTTAATGTCGCGGTGAACGACCCATAATCCAGATTCTTCGTGAAGGTAACGAAGCCCTCGAGCTATTCCTTGAACAATGTTTCGACAGGTTTCCCAATTCAGCTGAGTAGCTCTATCGGGATCTGTGACCACACATTACCACAATGAGTAATGGCACAGAGCTTGAAAAAATTAGCCTGAATAATTT